TTATAGACGTACGATCATAGGGCCTATGAGATGGCGAACGGCACTCGTAGTCGTCAGTGATTCCAGGAGCACAACCAGGCTGCTGTTTACTTGTATGGATCCTCAATCCTCGTTTGAAGAGCATATTGTAGCGCTCAGGGGAAGTTAATTCTTTGCTTTGCTTCATGAAGGGCATTGCCACAATGCCCTTCATGAAGTATTTTAATAGACCTCGAGAAATGTCCTCTTCTGTATAAAGTCGAATGTAAGTAGCATATTTTTGTGATTTGTTCTATTTTTGTTTGACAAAAACAAAACTAGGTTAATCTATTTACAATTCGCTTTGTATCCGTTCGTAACATTAAATCACGTTAACTATTTAATTGCAATATTAATTTCACGATATTTTATTCGAGGACTTAGCTTGTAATTCTAAAATCCATAATTCACATTCAGTTACACCATAATTCAAAATATTTCGTCTACGGCAGTAAACCACTGCTTGACCGCAATATTAAAGTTAGTCACAGCTTGACTCTTATCATAGCTATTTTTAGTTTCAACACGACATCGCTATTTTTATATTATCAGTGGACTGTGCTCATAAGCATTGAGAAACTTAAAGTATTCCGGTTAATGCCCGTAAAACAATCACCACTGTTTGATCCAATAATGAAAGAAATACTTACTGGTTACAAATATCTGATTTGGTTGTTAGTCGGTACTAATGCTATATTTCTTCATTGGTGTTGGTAACTATTTACCATTAGGTATATTTATTATTGGTTTTTCCATGCTGATGACTATGCGGTCCAATCGATCTTAAGTAGTCATCGCTGCCCATGGACATCAGCAATTCCAGGAGCACAACCAAGCTGTTGCCTACTAGCCTGCGCTGCCTGCTCGCCAGTCTTCTATGAACGTAATGACAAAACTAATCATATGAGCAACGATTTTAAAAACTGTTGCAACATATATATTTTTTTTTTCATTATTAGTGTTGATTATACTAGCTGTTTTGATTCTCGTACTAGCTGACCGCATAACACATAAGCTCCAACCCAAGTTAATTGACAAATCTATAGACACTTAGCTATTTAATTTAATCAAAAACTCCATTGTAGTAGAATAACAGTGATATTCTTTCTACGACCCTCTTAGATAAGACGCTATCGAGCTGTGCGACTTAGCCATTGATCAAATTCCGTAGACATCTTCATTTTCTGAAGGTCGTATCTAGTTTGATGACTGTTTTCTTATCACTTATTGCACAATCCCTCTCCACGTGTCTATCTTTGGCAGTCCTAAATGCTTTGGTATAGGCATGTCGCTAAGAGATCCTATAAATTTTGACCAACGGACAGATAATCGGTTACGTAGTCTTTTCCAGCAGACATAACCTAAAAGCATCTGCTTTTCGTAGTTCGCGATTTCAAGCAGTGTCCAAATTAGGTTAGTATATGCTGAAAACAGATTGTAGACAGTCTAGTTGTTGTGTTAAGCTCTTCGAGAATGGACAAGTTTGTCCGGCAAGCGGTCCATGGGATGCGTAACATACGTCTCCAACACCACATCGGGAATGCCTCGATCTTGGATCTAACTTTAGTATCGTTCAGGATTTCAACCCCTTAGAGGAAGATTAAATAAACCAATGTACGCCTCACTTTTGTTTTACTGGATATGTTGCGATTTTTTTAGTGTAATAAATGCTTTATATATGTTTACGAATGACACGAATGACGAATGCACTGTGAAAAAGTAAGGTCGTGTAAAAAAAACATATTATTACCAGTTTTTTTTAATAAAAAAAAAAGTCGTACATTGCTATTGCACATAGATAAAGGCTTAGACATTGGGTATTATATATATTTTGGAAGCATTCACATTAATTGAGGCTGCGCTGAAAAAAAAACGTTTCAGTTCTCCTCTTTCCTTTTTTTGGGCGGGTCAGAGATATACTTTGGTTTATTTTTACTTGCAAACAAAAACACAAGTCTACATTACGACTTAATTCGTATGTACGCCTCTTGATGTATAGCGTGGAGGTTTTCCACACAAACCATGTCGTAATTAATATACAAGCTATAGCATGAACAATTGTGCACCAGATCCGCTTTTGTTTTATGCTTTTTTTATAAAAAGACAAAGTCTAGATCTAAATCTGAAATTCATAAAAATTGGATGATTAATTTCAAAAGCTTTGTTACTAGGAACAATTTGAAAGTACGATCTATTTATTTTTAATGTTTCTAAGGCTCTTTCTTAAGCGGACAGACTGTAGAAGTCTTTGTGTATTCTTGAATTTCTTCTAAAGGCACAAAGGTGTATTACATAGAAAATTCAAACGTAAGGTTTATAAATACTGAAGGGCACCATTGATGAAAATATGTTTATAAATTGTCATTAACAATGAAGTGAGTTATTTTCTTACTTGATAGCATCTATATATATAAAAATGAATTGCTGTTCGTTAGTCTCGCTATACTCGAGAACGGCTGGACCGATTTGGCTAATTTTGGTCTTGAATTATTTGTGGAAGTCCAGAGAAGGTTTAAAAGGTAGATAAATATGAAATACTCGGAATTAAATAAAAATAACAATTTTGTTTTTCCTTTGATGTGTCCCCCGTCGGACGGATTTCTTTTGTTTGTTTTAAGTTTATTTTATACAAAAGTTTAGGTATTTTATTGATAGATTGAGGCACTACAAAGTCTGCCGGGTCTGCTAGTAAACAATAAATGTTTAATTCAAAAAACTTTAAAAAGAAGTGAGATATGTCTTTTTTTGGAAAATTTATGTACATATATTATCTGGGCGCACACAGACACAAACTTCCTTTTCGTGTTCACCGTACGTACCATAGGTTTATTCAGCAGTGTTTTTGTCGTTGAGATTTACGATCCTTATTACGAGGGTTAAAAGAGGCACATATTAAAGCATGCTGTTATAAAACCTTCTTGCGTGCGTGGTGTTTTTGAGAGGAGAGAAATTTGTGTTTTACGACCAATATAAAATAAAATTTCATTATTTTTTATTTGGCATCTCAATGTATTTATCATTTACTTTTAATGTAAATTCATATTATTTAAGAATGCCAAATTACGTACAAAATATCACGAATAGATTGTAACACAGACTGAACTTCAAAAGTTTGTCCAAATACAAACTGAATAAATATTGAAAATAAGTAAACAGAATTTGCATCTACTGCTAAATTATTTGTCTATTATATGAGAACTAATACAATTACTGACTGTATGCGATATTGCTTGTCTTCAGTTATTGGACTGACCATGGCCACAAAACATATAATTGTGTCGATTACAATATATGCCTATAGAAATAATGCTGTTAAATCAAATATTGTAACAGAAAACACGACATAAAGTACGTACTATATCTTCTGTATTTTCTTCATTTATTGTTTGACTTCATATTGTTAATTCTTTTGTATGTTTAATAATATATGTCTACGTAATACTGTAAGTTTCCTCTCAAATATAACTTCAACGTACTGGTGATGACTGAAAGATGGTTTACCGCGTCTTTCACGCCTACGTCTACGAAATTGAGTTGGTAATTATTTTATAATTAGGTATTAAAAATCTACTTTTGATAAATACATATGTAGTAGAAAAAAGTCAATTCGGTCATAGCGACTATTACTGTAAATTAGACCTATTGATTTTATCTACATAGACATCACCATTATGTACAGTATATTCTATGATTACCTGGAGCTTGACTCAGTCAGTAATTATCTATAGTCAGCATCATTGCGCCACTTCGAAAAGGCGGCACGACATGAAAACCCTCTTGTAGTGGCCGCCGGGAATTACATACCTGATCCTGTAGATCGAATGGTAAACAGTCGACGTCGCCCTAAAAACGTCATTATGGATCCTCCCGATCCATTAACGGTGCTTTTAGGTACCACAAGCACCGGTCACCGTCCTCGTCGAACCCGTCGCTTGCGACGAAGGACTCGACGAGTGAATTAACCCATAGACACAGCCCATTGAGTTTCTCGCCGGAACTTCTCAGTGGGTCGCGTTTCCGATCCGGTGGTAGATTTTGCGAAGCACTGCTCTTGCTAGGGCCACTGTTAGCAACACTCCCGGTTTGAGCCCCGTGAGCTCAGCTACACGTCAAGGAGAAGCTGAAATAACCTCTCAAGGATATCAACATAGGTAGGGAAAAAAACTGGTATATGATATGTTTCATGTTATACAAATGCATATTGTTATAACTTCTAAATACAATCACAATAAAGTAAACGTTGGTATGACATGAAAAATAAGGCCTTATACTTGTATGTCTATAATGGAATTTCACGTCGTGCATAGTAATCCGTTTATCCAAAATGAAATACGAGCATTGGCTAAAAGATTGACAGCCGTGAAATTAACATGAAAGAAAATGTCCGACACCACGCCACGCCGGAATCCATAACGTGATGAAAATACTAAGCTTTTTGAATGTCATTTTTGTAAAATATAGTTTAAAAATTGACTATAATATTGTGTTGTTTTTTGTTACGATTTTTTTTTTTGGTCAGGAGGAAATTTAAATTTTTGTTACGATAACCAGCCCAAAACAGTAAATTACTGAATGCAGTGAATTAGGTTTTCTTCCAATTGCTGTAATATTTATAATAACGCGGTTTTATTACTTTTTTGGTAATTAAACTTCATTATACGTTAAAATTAGCATTGTGAGAAAACATTTCAATTATTTTTTAATTTGCGACGATATTGTTCAGAATAAAATGACCAATCACGCAAAAAAAAAAAACTATATTCAAAAGTTGGATGGTTTTTTTACAAATTAAATCAGGAGGTCATTCAATGTTTTGTTTAAGGACAATTGTTTTATATTACGGTTCTCTAATTCAGAAAATAAAAATAACCAACATAGCGTATATGAAATTTTTTACTCAATATACATAACAATTATAGTAATAAATTCAAGTTAGTCACTATTAAATTATCAAAAACTAACATGACAGCAATTGACGTACAAATAATTAAAGAAAATTAACTAAAATTCTTCCGATATATTTTAATTATTTCTAATTTTTTTCCGACTAAAACGAGATTCCTATTGTTAAACTTACATCACTAAAGTTTTCAGTGCTTAACAAAATTCTAGAATAACATTTTTATTATTTTTTCAAAATATTTAGCTACGGATTTTGGAGTATGTAGCCATTATAAATACAACACAGTTGGGAAAAATGTAATTATTGAAAAGGTATGACTTATCATTATATTACATACGAGTCTAAAGCGTCTAATAAGTCTCATATTGAAGATCTTAAACTAAAAAATTTAGGTAAGGTTTTTTTTAATCAAAACCTCAGGAGGTTAATGAATTACCAATATGACTTGCTTTCTTTATTACGATACAAACGTCTTAATATTTTTTAGTGACTTTTCTAACATCTTACAAATACATTTTCCTTAATAATATGAATATCATTTTGGCAATTTAACTTTAACTATAGCGTATTAAGGAAAAATAAACCTGCCACTAATATTACAATATCATTGTCATTCAGAAAACCAGAACGATTAAACATTCGATCTGAATTAAAAATCTCCTTATTTTTTATTTGAAATCGGTTAAATAACCTCTTACGATGGATTTAAACCAGAAAATGAAAGTATAAATCACAAGATTTGAAAATAATTAGTATTAAACAACCAATAACAATGGATTGTTTATATACAGATGTTAAACAGAGACTGTGTTTGTACACCATCAATGCTCTGATTGTGTAAACAATATTCATAGATTCATTAGTTAATAGAGAGACATTTATCAGATAAACGAAATTATATAGATTTTATATTTGAAATATCTTAAGATAGTTCTGGAAGATTTTTATAAATATACTAGAGACTTTAACTAATTTAGCAGCTTCATAGTATTAGTGGCAAATATTTTACATTCTTTGCAGAATAAACTTATTTAAAACAATCTACAAACTAAGAAACAATTACGCAATAAGATTACAGTTAAATATCACACACGGAAATTATTGTGGGTTTAAAGCTAATTACAAGAATTTCTTTTATAATTCCACATTTATAGTTACCGCTGTCTTCCATTTCGAGATAATTTCCTGTAAAATTTGACTAGAGGTAAATTTCAACCTCGAAGTTGAGAGGATGATGTCTTTGGCTTTTCATTCTGACGGTGACAAAGGAGTAGCCGACACCGCCTTCCGTGATGTTAGCGCTGGCGTGGGAGAAGTCATTGTCAATAGCTGCGACACCCTGAAAAAGGAAAAGCATACCTATTAATTTTACAATAAACAACAACTAACTTGCTGGTGCTGTGGTAGAACTTTTTTTTTTAATGCTTAGATGCGTAGACGAGCTCACAGCCCACCTGGTGTTAAGTGGTTACTTCAGCCCATAGACATCTACAATGTAAATGCGCCACCCATCTTGAGATATAAGTTCTAAGGTCTCAAGTATAGTTACAACGGCTGCCCTACCTTTCAAACCGAAACGCTACTGAACTGCCGTGAAGCAGTAATGCGTTCACTTAAAGTACTATTCTAAATAGGACGATTTAGTGGATTCTTTTGTCAGTTCAACTGTTCATTATACCACCAAGAGATGCCAAGTTTCAACCTCAAAAACGGGCATACTGCAAGTCTACATGGGCAAGTGGTTCCATCTTGCCAATTTTTTTAGAAGGGCGGAACAGCTCAGTCAAATTTACATTCATAATGTAGTGTCTGTATACGCGCTGAAGATGATGTGGGTAGTGAGTTTGTGTATTCATTTAAGTAAGCCGCAGAGTAATTGTGTAATCCAAATCGAAGAAGAAAATAGTTCTCCAGTTATTAGTAGTCTCTAGTAATTATGAGGACCGAAACAAGAACGGTCACTTTTCCCAGGTCTAAGGTTTCCTATAAGCTCTCAATATCAGCTAGACATAGACTATACTAGGTTTAAGGCGCGAAAAAATTAAATACGTCCTGTTAATGTAAAAAGTTATTAAATGTCGTCGCAACGTCCTTGAGACAATCCATTTCTTTTATATTTCTTTCCACAGCGAAAGAAAATTCATGGTGAATCATTAATAAAGAAATAGTTATGTTTTACTGTATTTAGTGATTGTCGGAGCCCCTGCCCGTCACAGCTAACCTTGATATTTGAGGTTGTAGTCTTAACTATGTGGCATTACCACTGGATCACCCCTCAAACCGAAATACATGATTTGATTAAATTGGCAGGATATACCAATAAAATGTGCAGGTATGCAGTGCAGACCGGTTCGATTTTGAGCCGTATGCTTATGTCTTAGTTAACGTTTTAGGTTATTGCTGACTGCATAATTATATTTGTTTTAAGATATCATAATTAGGTGAAAATAAATAAAATTAGCTGGCCTTTTAGTGATCGATTATTGTTAATGCGTTATTTTTACAACATAATTTTTGTTTATTTTGAAAAGAATTGAGTTCCAGTGAATGTTCATGTCGTTTATATTTTCTATTCTAAATATCTCTACATTTGCAACGGTTTTCAGTAAATCCGTCAAGTATCTGGCAGTAATCCTGGATAATATGTACATACATATAACCACCCACATCTGCGATCGCACCACACTTATCGTCGATAGACTACCCCATTATCGGCAAGAAAATAAAATGCCTTCGTAATAATGTGACATTTTAAAAAAACTTCCAAGGGCTAATAATGACATGTGAGAGTGTTTCTCTGTTCATAAAGCATAGCTCTTTTACTCCTGCAACACCCCTAGTGGCAGTGAGGAATGTGGATCTTCACAACGATCTGGGTCACGAAACCATCCGTAAATATCTTAAGCCATCGTCGGAACACTACTTCACGTCAGTGGCGAGGCACGATAACCCATTTATCATGGACGCTATAACTATATTCCACCCAGGTCACAGAGCAGCCAACCATTTCCGGACGTTACAGTTGCTTCTGATCTATTCTTGTTGCTGCTTGAGACTACTAGTACTAACGCTAGCCGTTGGTCACCGATCTCGTCGAAAATTTCGACGTGATACTTAGCATCAGCTAGCAGAGTTTCACGTCAGGTCTTCCGACCAGGTCTCGATCCCGATGCGTCGGTAGGAGCATCAACTACGTGAATCATGATCTGCTAGGTCTCTTTGGGGGGCAGTTGTAAGCAAACCCTTCCCTGGCTGACCCCTCGAGTAGGCACCAATCCTTGTTAAGCTGCTAGGTTTCCCGTATAACCGTAATCCCTACATCCCAAAAAAATAACGAAAAAGTAATAAAACCATTATGATATTTTATTTAGTAAGGTTGCATGAGCAATCCATTATTTCTTATTACATAAGATTACTTAAATAATGTTATGAAATATTTCTAGAATGTTAGAATGTATGAGTAATAGGTCTCCATATGAGTTATTTTCGCACCATTTTAAATTGCAATGATAGAATAGTAACACCAATAACTGAACATATTTCTCATTTTGAAGTAAATGGTTCTGTAGTATATAATATATAATATAAGTGCAATAATATCTACATGTACTTTTAAATTGCAGAATATTATTTTATTATGCATTTTGTTATCAATTTTCTACAACTAAATGTCTTTAGAAGTAATGAAAATAATTTATATTACTGGTAAACAAAATATTTCATTTTAAAATTTTCCTCAAGTCATCATTGTCAATATTTTTTTTCAAAACTTTTTATAAATAACATAATAATATGAGTCTTAGAATTTAGAGTATATTTAAAGACGTCATTATGGTAATAAAGTCTATAAATTAGTAGTTTTTATAATATTTATTATTCGGACGTGGGTAGCTACAAGCATAACCACAACGAAATTATCCAAACAAATACCGACCTTAATAATCCGCTTCTCAGGGTCGGTGTAACTCAATGTCTTTATTCTCTTCTTGAATGGAATCGCGAAATCTTTGACCCTTTGATGAAAAACCATCTTCCGGTGCACCGTGTCTCCAACGATCATGTCGTATGCGCCGCAAAAACACACCACAGACACAGACAATAGGAGCAATAATACTAAACGCATTTCGATTTCATATTACAAAGTACAGTGTGTACTCGGGTCGCCGCACGACCGATGACTAACAAGAACAAACCGTTGATAACCTCTCGATAACTACGCTGGTCAATAACTACGAAACGGCTGGGATTTGCCAAATTAATTTAACGCTACGATAAATAGATTTAATTATACGTCTGTTCGTATTTAGATAATACGCCGTATTGTTTACTTAGCCGTTTCGATATGACAATGGTGAATGTTTAATTGTTTTCCTTGTTTGGTGTCTTTGAATGCGCTTCTGAAGTTGCTACACTCCATTTCTATTCGTAATATTCATTTGATAGGTATTTAAATGGTACTGTTGTTAATACGTTACGCTTTCTCTTGTGCATTGTGGTACTTAATTTGGTGAATTTAACTTGTTTAAAAAAGACTATAGGAATTTTGATTATTATTTCTTCTACTATTTATGTCGTAAGGCAGCAGTAGAAACAAGAGATAAAAAATATAATGGGTACTGTGGTAAAGTATACTAATCACTCGATTCCAGATGAGCTGCGATCTCATCTGCGAATGCCAATTTTTTTTACACAATTCATTTTCCTGTCACCGAAGGAAGATACTTTTTGAGCGTTCTTTTTTTTCATTTCTTCGTTCGATTCCTTCAGTAAACTTTTTTCGCTGACAGAATGATTAATGACCCTGTCACTTAAAAACTTGAAACTCGCAAAAATCCCTGCGGAAGGTGCGCTTTTGACAGTCGCATTTTCGAATAGTCATCATCTCAATCTAAAAGTTTTAAATTGCTTTTACGAAGTTTGAGAAGTATTGAGATTTACCTACATGATTTATAACAGAATTTGAAATAAACGGGTCGCGTAAAAGTACTCTTCTTTCAATTCTTAATCATTAAAGATAATTAAATAAAAAGCTTTATTTCCCTTGTAGGAAGCCGAGGTAACGCCCTATCTGACAGTGAGTGGTTACTATCGCCAGTAGCCAAGCCGCTGTCTAGCTGTTAGGTACTCCGCAAGTCTTGTTTAAAGAAACAATATCATTTTTCACTCATTATGCTCGTTACAATCATTATCATTGAAATGCTATTATTTTATCTTCCGAGTTTACTCAACGGCTTAATCTGAAGACTCTTTATCTCGTATGGACAAGCCAGAACGTTCCTACTTCCACAGAAATTTAACTTGTTTTTAGACTTTTGTATGCGATGCTATGAGTATAATTTTAGTGGACGAACTAATTCGTGCCTCATCGGTTGTGTCCCAAAGTAAAATGTATGATGCTCCAAATGAGCTGATAGACTAGTTTATAATTACTTTTTGGGTGTAAATACCTGAAGAACAAATCGTAAAAACATGAAATCTTCCGATATTTGGCCAAAAACCTTTTGTTAAAAGGTAATTTCATTAAATCTGCAAATGAGAAAAAATAAGCTAAGCCTCCACCTAAAGGGGTAAGATTCACTAACAGCTAACCGAGCACCCTTGAAGGAGGCCTGACAACTTAAGGCCATCTATTACCGGATCGAAGTCGGTCCAAAGATCCGGCGTAAAATTCAGCGGAATGAATGATTGGGTTTCACGTCACATCGAGTATGGTCATTTGTGTGCCTACGCGTCAGGGTCAGACCCTGGATAAGGACGTGTTTTAGGCGTCAACGGTCACTGGCTTCTGCATGAGCTGCAGCAAGGCTATAGTTTGCTGCGGCCAGAATGAGAGTTTCCGTGTCGCAATAACCCATCAAATTAGCGACGCAGACTACGATTTTTTTTTACTTGGTTTGTCTATTTTCTAAGGATAGCTGCTTTGTGATACGATATTGCCAGTCTATATGATCTCCGCTGATCACACCGCTGATCACAAACACCGTGGTTCATGAGGAATGTGGATCTCCATGATGACCTGGAGCTTAACTCCATCAGTAAGTATATTCTGTCGGCATCAGTGTGCCACTTTGAGAAGGCGGCTGGACTCAAAAACCCTCTTGTCATGGCCGCCAGAAATTATATAAGTACCCGATCCTGTGGACCGAGTGGTAAAGAGTCGACGTCGCCCTAAACACGTCATTTCGGATCCTCCCGATCCACTAACGGTGCTTTTAGGTAGCTCAGGCAACGGTCACCGTTCTCGTCGAACCCGTCGCTTGCAACGAAGGATTCGGCAAGTAAACTAGCCTATAGATACAGCCCACTGAGTTTCTTGCTGAATCTTCTCAGTCGGTCGCGTTTCCGATTTGGTCGTAGATTCTGCGAAGCATTGCTCTTTCTAAGGCCAGGGAAAAAAGATCACAAATGATTTTTTTTTAAATTTTGAACCTATTCTTTTGTCGTGGAAATATTTTGTGAACGTTACATATTAATTTTAAAAAATCAGCCAACGAATACAAGGCTGATTAAATCCATGGTGTAGAAGTATAAAGTACAGACGACAGAAAGTTACATTAAAAAATACAATAAAAACATTATCAGAGATCACATTGATTGTATCAATTACCTAAATTCGATTTAAATAATGAAATAGCCTAGATACTGTTGCCTCTTAAATTGCAAATCAAAAAATTAAATACATAACCCTGGATTTTTCATTGAAAAAGTGTAAGACTTTAAAGCTATTAAAATAGGAACCGACAGCGGCCTGCCAAAAGTGTTTGAATCATCCGTTTGGTTTTATTGGTAAAAAAGCTTATCAGACTTGTACTGAAGCATTCAAACAAGGCTTTGTTATCATAACTACACAAGTATACTCTAGAGTCTTGCCAATCGATATCCATAGCTGCGGACCTTTAAAGCAATTTCAATGCTACAATGATTTATATACAAAGACGGTCGGTAATTAATACGTATTAATTGTTCACGGGCCTATCTCCATCAAATTTTACACGTAATTTCGGGTACACGGCTCCGTCCATTGTTTCATAAATCAAATTAAACCGTGAAAGCCTTCTCTGATATAGAATTAAGGTTTATTAATCACGATTCGAGCAAAATGGACGATGTTAAGCAGTTAAGGCGATTTATTCAATTAGCGAAATATTAAAGTTTATACATATATGAAACGGCTTAACGTTTAAAATGTTTGCGTAAAATATTTTGGAAAACAGTAGATTTTGTTTTGTTTAATGCACTCAGTGGCCTTGTCTGGTGCGATAATCTAAAGGAATAACATTAGGCAGTAATTGCCCTTAACGAAAAAAGAGTGATGTGCCTAAATTTAATAAGTTTTTAACGTACAAAAACTCACCATTTACACGAGCATTGTACACAACAATTGCATAACAAATGCTACGTTTGTTTTAAGATATCATAGTAACTATTTAATATTGTTACGCCGGTAAAAGTAACGCCATCTATCGCCGAATCGTCGAACGAATATCGAAGGATCTAGTAGCGCCTAGAACGCTCGGGAAGTACAACGTCATCTATTGACAGATAGCGGAAATGACTACTAGAGATGTGTGGAATATTCTCGATAATTCTAGGGATGAGGTATCGGCTATACAAACGTTGTAGAGATTGCACGCAGTCAGTCAGTAATCGGTACTACTCGAAGCGAAACAGCGAACGGATCACCTGAAGCGAAGCGGAACAAGCCAATTGAGAGTTTTAAAGTGTTTGTGGAGTGTTTAAGTGTTCTAAGTGTTGAATACAGTTTTAAGTTGTACTTTGGTGAAACTTTATTTGTCCCGAACCCCAGCGCGTAACAATATCAAAAGTAAGAAAAATTTACAATATACTTTATAGAATACCAAAACACAATTAACATTCAGAAACAGTCATTAGTAACATTAGCGAGGTATAATTGTACAATAGGTGGTCTTATCGCTCAAAGTGATCTCTCCCAGACTATCGTTTATCTACAGAAATTCGGGAAAGATCCAGCAGATATTTTGTGGTGTACTATTATTAACAATCTCTCTCAAGTCTCTGAAGACAGGCTTTGGCCCAATGGTTTACCATTACGCACATTAATAGTGAAAATACATTTATAGAAAAAATATATATGGTATCTACAATAACATGAAATAGCTATATGATTTACATATCAATATGCTTACATAACAAATCAAAAGTATGCAAAAGGTATATAATGCTTAAACAAACAACACTAAGCAGATAGGTAATGTTCCTTAATCATTCTTAAGGCAGTTTAAAGTTGGAGCACTTCTCACTGCTGCCAGGAGTGCATGTTAAAAAACAAGCCAGATTTCCATTACTTTGAGATAAATGGGGGTAAAAGACTATACAATGTAGGTATTAAAAAGGACATGACTATTACGGTGAAGGCAGCGGCTTGGCTCTGCCCCTGGCATTGCTGAAGTCCATAGGCGACAGTAACCACTCACCATCAGGTGGGCCGTATGCTCGTCTGCCTACAAAAGCAATAAAAAAAAATTCCGTAAACCAAATTAGAATCTTATGCAAAAAAGTGTAGCCTCTCAAGTGCTTGGGTTAGATAAAGTAGCTGGCATCAGCGTAGTCAAAGATTGGATAGGAATGACTGTGTGAGCGCAGTTTTAATGGCTGTTGGAAGAAAATTTTGTAACAGTCTTAAAAAGTTGATTTAGCTGCTGAAGACAATAAGAAATATATAGTTTATATGGGTGCCATACTGTTCAAAGTTTTTTTTTTGCTGTGATGGATGGACGAGCTCACAGCCCACCTGGTGTTAAGTGGTTACTGGAGCCCATAGACATCTACAACACAAATGCGCCACCCACCTTGAGATATAAGTTCTAAGATCTCAGGTATAGTTACAACGGCTGCCCCACCCTTCAAACCGAAACGCATTACTGCTTCACGGCAGAAATAAGCAGGGTGGTGGTACCTACCCGCGCGGACTCTCAAGAGGTCCTACCACCAGTGATAAATAATAATGGAATAAAAAATAAGTAAGTATAAAGTGTGTATAAAGGTAAAAGTCTAAATAAATAAAAATATATATATATATATATATATATATATTATTATTATGATAATCAAAACGGCCATAACAAAAGTAAGGCATGACAAATTTCTACTATTTAAGCAAATATTAAAAACGCAACACTCTCCTCGTCCCCGTGAGGTATGTAAGAAATAAAGAAAAAACTGTTGATCCTTCAAAATTATTTCGTTGAGCATACTTT